GCGGTGGCGGCGGCGGCGGCGAGGTCGTTGATTGTGAGCTCGGAGGCGGGCGAGTCTCTAGCGTGGGCGTCGTGCTGCAGATCGTGGAGGCCAGGATGCGCTGCCGCTGCGCCGCCCTGAGACGCACCGATGGCCAGATTTTGAGCCGAGACATCGACGAGACGGCCCTGAGAGTCGTACACGGCGCCGGTGGCCTCGTCAAAGTAGTAGGTCTCGTTCTGGTCTGTGGCATCGGCGGCGGCGGCGGCGGCGGCGGCGGATGGTACTGATGCTGCCGGTGGAGGTGGTGATGTTGATGCTGGTGCTGGTGCGTGGTGATGTGTGGGGGACATGTGCTGACGGTTCTGGTTGTCTATGGACGGGTCGAGAGGGTTTTGTTGGAGCTCAGGAGCGGGGCCGAGATCGGGAGGGACAAAGGCGAATACGTCGCCGTCGTCGTCGGACTCGTAGTCATCCTCCTCGTCCCATTCTTCCTGGATGTAAGGGTCGTGCTGCTGCTGCTGTTGCTGCTGTTGCTGAGGGTAAGCGCCCTGGCCCTGTGTGGGGGGTCTGCCGGCGGCGGTGCCACCGCGGGTGCCTGGACGACCGGTCATGGGTCTACCCGTGGTGGGCCTGCCGGTAGTGGGTCTGCCGGAGGATGGGTTCATTTTGTTGCGAGCGGCGCCGAGGCTACTGCAGGCTTTGGTGGGTTGAATCGAATGCGGGGTGCAGAGTGCGGGGTAGAGATGGATGGGGGTTCTAGTGGGTGGCGATGGATTCGAGGTGGGCAAGCCAGTCTAGATGGATGTGCTGCGGGAGAGTAGGCAAGAAGAGGTGCGATGGGAGGCGCAGATATGAGAGATGGGAGACGAAGTAGCCGAACGACGCAGCCGTGTTGAGAAGGAGGTGGTCGGGGTGGGGCGGTGTGGTGGTGTGGTGGCGGTGGTGTTGACCAGGGGTTCCGCTGGGAGTCCGCTGGGACTAAAAGGTGGATGAGATGGTGGACTGGGAGCGAGATCGATGGTGAAGGGAGAAGGAGAGGGGATGGGGAGAAGGTGGGAGAGGTGGCTGTCGAGACGAGATTGTAGGAGGATGAGGAGCCGGAGGGGCAAAAGCGTGCCCTCGCCAGAGGCCTCGCGAGAGAGAGAGGCAGAGTGGGACGCGCGACATGTGCTGGGCGAGGCAGCTGCCCGGGTTTGACAGGCGGATTGGCAGTGCGAGAGGCAGAGCTGGGCCTGGCAGAGCGTCAGTCAACTGCAGCTCGACTGCATTCAACGGCTGGCCCTGGAGGCTTAGCGCTCGGCTGCTTCGGCTGGCGAGCCGTGCCATTTTCAACGCCAACGCCAAAGAGAGAGAGAGAGAGAGAGAGA